CTTAGCATTTACGCTCGACATTATTGGCAGTACCGTCGTCGTCGTCGCATATTATTTCATACAAGTGTGTTCCTCTTATGGAGTCACCACCCTTTCCGGTATAGAACTCTCGTCATTGCTATCTATACGCGATACATTATTAGGAAAGCAATATATTGTTTAGCAGGGAGGAGAAGGAGGAGGCGTTTGTTGCTTCGTTAGTTCGACAAGGAAGGAGTGCTTGGATGAGCGCTTATGGGTGAAGGGTGTAGCAGCAAAAGACACCGTCGTCGTGTGTCGTCAAGCGTCTGACAATGACAATTGAGTTTGAGGAGGAACCCATGTTAGAGAAAAGTAGTGGTCGTCGTTTGTGACAGAGAAATTCCAGGGCAGGGAAAAGTTAGTTTGTTGTCGGTGGCTTACCATGGTGAATGCGATGAATGATTGATTTCCAATCGATAGTCCTCTCTCTACCTGCAGACCTACCTGGACAGGGTGGGATGATAGTTGTCTTGTTTCATGAACTCCAAGGAGGGGTGGCACAGGTTGACATGATTTGGCTCTAATGCATTACCATAGAATGAATGTGTGTGCTGCATAATCCACTTTCTCAAGACGAGTTCCACCAAGGATGACTCGCTCTCCAAATATTGTGCATGTAAAAGTGGAGAGCTTTGAACGTGCCCATCTATCCGTGTGTCTATTTAGACGGCACTTCCCTCCGGAGAGAGATAGAGAGGACACAATCCAAGCATTCAACTTCAACTTAAGCCGTCGCATGTGGTCTCTTTTGTGCCAGAGTTGCCTCCGATTGCACACATACACAATCCGCCGTAGTGGAGGACAAATCCAGCAGCATTATTATTATTATGGGCTTTTGGATAGCTTTGTTATGCCTAAAGATAGGAAATGACGGAAAGGGAAGGAACAAGACACCGACGACGACAGTTAGATTCCTTGCTGTCTACCTGCGTGCATATGGACTTGGTTGTCCCGTTGTCCGTCCCTTCTTCAGTCGGGAGAAAGTAGCTGAGAAATTGAGTATTGCGACATGTTTGGTGATGGTGGTGATGCCATATTATCCAAATCCACTCTTCTGCTCACTCCCTCGTCCTATATGTTGTTTAGATTTGCACTGCCCACATCAGTAGAATTGCCCATATCCTATTCGTATGCAGATGAGCAGGGGAGAAAGCCTACAATGTTGTCGTTAATCGTGACTCCTTGCTACTTTCTCCCATTAATCCTCGACCAAGTTGACCAAGATACACATGACAAACTACCCACGTCGCTCTTATACAACTGTCCCTCCTGTTTTTTTCAAGAACAAGGAAAAAGCTACGGCTGGCTGACCAGACGGAACTTTTGTAGGTAAACTGTTTATCTACACTACTTTATCCCTCTGACAGCACAACTAATCAACCACTCCTCTGTCTGTTTGACCCGAAATTGCACAAAAAACATCGTTTGTTGGCAAGTCAAAAGGCATTCTTTGTAATCTGTTTGCATTATAGGATACGTTTAAATACGGAACTTGGATAAGTTATTTTGTTCTCACACATTTCTGAATACAAGTTCACATGTTAACTTCAAGTGAACATTAGTGCTCAAAAGTGAACTCTGAAGAAGGCAATGAAAGCTAATTAATTGGTAGTGCAGACAGATAGGTAGCATTTTACTGGTTTGAGATATTTAGTTAGCTGGGTAGACTAGCTGGCCACTAGTGCCCACCACATGCAGCTTCTTCACCACTAATCTGCTAATAAGTCATCGTTCTTGGTTTTTTTACCCGTTTTAATTCATTCGCGAGCCACCCTCCGCCTTACGTATACAAATTGTCCGAGCTGCCAGTGTTGTTACATTCTTAATGGAAATCGCCGCTGATGGTGATGGGTGGTGGGCTCTGTTTATGGTTATGGACTGAATTCGGAAGGATGGAACCTTTCCTTGTCATATTGAATATTACTCGTACATTCACGAGTAAGGGCACGGCGGGCGAATCAGCGGTCGGGAAGAGAAAGCATATTTGAAGCTTTACTGCTATCTGCTCCATAAAACTTCTTAAACGGTGGTCTTGGTGAACACGAATTTCTACCACTCGTCGTATATAAATACTCTGCATACATACAGAGTTTCTCTGCTAGGCCGGTAAAGATAGAGCCAATTTTGCAACATTTGGTTCGTTCAATGCCATTAAGCAGGTTTCAATTCAAGCACTTTCCTCAAACTGCTTTCTCTAGGATATATTCCTCCTCCTACATGTTTCGCCCCCTTTGGCCAACTAAGATGGGTCAGTAATCCAATTAAGGGCGAACGTATTACATCATTCATTTCACCCTTTCACTCTCGTACGCAGTCTCCCTCGTCCATCCATCCAACCAGCAGCATCTACAGAAGACACTTCTGGGGTACTACTTCACCATACTATATCACGGAATCGCATCAGTTTTTTTGTAATGCTCATGAAAACAGACTCCCGAAAATTATTGTTATTATCAAAGAAAGAGTTTTTTATGAGTCAGGGAAATAAGTACCATTTTGTCTGAGAAAAATATTTACAAGCTGAATTATAAATGAAGTCAAATAGTTGGTGGTGATGGTGGTTTGGTTGGTTGGTTGGTTGGTTGGTGGTGATTCGTGTGGACAAGCTCTGGAAATTTCAATTATTGTCTGCCCTGGTTTCGTCGATGTGTAATAATAATAATGTATTCCAACCAGCACTCGGATATTGACGTGTTCGTTGAGCGACGTGCATTAGTATGAGGCATCGCATATCCATATCTCGCAACCCCACCAGCACCAGCACCTGTCATTAGAATATTTAATATTTTCAGAGCCACGGAAAAGCTCATTGTTGTATGTGTGCGAGAGGGGAAGATGTGATCCAGAATTTAGAATGGAGTGTAAAAAGAACTTTGGCTCAGTATGTTCAGGTGCGTTAAAATGTGTTCTTGCCTCTGCTTGTTCTTGCGGTGGTATAAAATTTGTGGTCCTTGATAGAGACCAATGTTGCATACGTATTGTAATATTTGGTTCGTCGCCGTTGATGCAATGCTTACGCCGCAGCCTGGATGAATTAGTTGTGAAGGCTTTGAATGCATAAGTAATTCATTCAGTGCGGGGTGCACGGTTAGTTTAAATTCACGTAAAACAGGTTGAGAATGACGGTTGATTATTGTTATGAGAAGAAGGTAAGATCGGTTGGCTGCTGGAATCTGGCTGGAAGAGAGGCTCATGAATATTCTAACCCTAATTTCAACTCACCCCGTACACAAGCTTTGAAACCGACGATACGTACGTTCGTTCACACATCCGTCTGCCTGTCTTCACCCAACAACATTCAACGACAATGTTTCGAGACTCTTAATTGTGAGGGCGGATTTATATGTGTGTGGCTACTTGTAAGAAATGAGCAACGAATCCCATCCATTTCGTAAATGTAAAAGAGAGTATTTAGGCTGCTTCATCCCGTGATCGTAAACACTTTTGACAAACAAGCAAAAATCACACTTGAGCTCGAAATTCTTTGTCCACAAAGCAGGATGATGATGATAAGTAAGTAATACACCCCTCCACTGACTCACTGATGAATTACATATTCTGTCTATGTATGTATATGGGGGATGCATATGACACGCTAACGCTAGGTCAACAACTTGGCAAACTCAATTACACATGAGCCAGCTAAAAAAGGGACTGAAATTTGTGAAAGTGAAGATGTCAATTCAGTTTTGGTTAGTTTGGCATATCCCATCTCATGACGTTCTCATCGCAAGGGTCAGTTTGTATCCGTGAAATTCAAGACATTAAATCATAACGAGTAGAATTTGGAGTGTACGGTTTGTGGTTACTGCATTGTAACAATAACTCACATTTACGATGACGTGAATTAAGCTGCGAGTGTGAAGGACATCCGTTCAAGGAAGGTGATGCTTGATGATGATGACAATTAGCAGGGCTTAACAGCATTTTGTTCATCCCTGTGGTTCATCCACCTAATTATGGTTCTAAGTCGTGGTGGTTCGGCTCTTAATGGGTTCTAAAATGTGTCGTAGTGTCAACCGTGCAATTTGCCACGGTCTCATTTTTGCAGTCTGACAGCAGTTGACAGTATGGTACTGTCTTTCATGATTTTGTTGCTGCATGGCATCTCAAACTGCAAAATTGGGCAGTATGAGCAGCAGAGGACTGTTTCTACTGAAAATGCTGCAAATACGTGAAAATTTAAACCCTTTGAAGTCCAAAAAGTTTTCGTGCTATCAATTTCAATGCGTAGTTTTACACAAAAATTAAATAGTCACGTTATAGTTAAATAAACACAGTTTGTTCTGGAACAGTTTTAGCAATAAAAATATATGCACAACAACGTCACCCCGATATTTAACAGCCTTGTCAATTTCACCATAATTTTCATCAGGCATTCTACTGTGCCATGTATTACTAATTCTTTTGTTCGTTTTGAAGTAATAAATAAGTTATTGAAATAATGAATGAAAAGTTTATGCATTCACGCGAGAAATGTTCCAATTCAGTGATGATAAGGCACAATATATGATAATAAAGCACGGAATGTCTTTTATTCACTTCGTTTTGTCATTCATTGATTGGCCTTTCAGTCATATTCAAATTGAATTTACATTGCATGTCGTCGCACCCTCCTCTGAATGTCTGAGAATTCTTAAAAGTTTTGATTTACTAATAATAAAGACGTGTACAACAGTGACAAATAAGTCGTTTCCTCAGGTGTCGTCGTCTTAGGTAGTTTTCCAGCTCGACACTTTATTGCTCATTGTGGTGTACTGTTCAATGTCGTAAAACAGTTGTTTTTAGTTTTTCAGTAATAAAATGAACAGTCTTCCAGCGTCTCAGTAGTCGTATTTATAAAACAATGAGAGCTTGCAATTGAGGGTAGCTAGCTATACATGCAAAGGAAACAACTTGACTCATTGGAATGAAAACATACATGGATTTGGTGTCATGTGCATTTTTTGTAGAATTAAACTTGATGGTTTGAATTGCAGGAATATGAAGCCAAAACATGGGTCACGGTTGAAGCAGAACTGGGCAACCAAGCCGAAGCAGCAGCCCTTCTTGTGCCAGAACGGAATGTCGTCACAAGTGCTGCTGTGTCTGTCCAAACAGAGGAAAGACTACCCTTCTTGGAGTTTTCTGATGCTGGGACAACCATCGAGGCGGGTGACCTCAGCGAGGACGACCAAACAACCAATGCAGAGGAGGAATCATATCGAAAGGTGATCAGTAATCGCTAAATATTTTAGCACAAAGACCATTCATTCATTCTTTGTGATTCAAATGTCATTTGTAAACTTCGCCTGAATGGAATTTTAATCTCTGCAGGAATTGGAGGAAAGATGTGCTGCTTATCAGCAAGATTTATACATCCTTCGCGGTGAGTTGATGACCATTCAATCTGATGCTGATTCCGAAGAGGAGCTTCGTGCAAAGTTCAACGAAGACGTGATAACCATTTTATATTCCGATTTTCCCATTGATGGGCATCCGGCTCTGTCCAAGCTCAAACATTCCAGACCGGATTCTACCAGAGCTGGTGAAACGGTTATTTTGGCAGCCATTCGACAATTGAGTTCTGTGTGGCGAAGTATCATTGACCAAAAAACTACTTTGGAAAGGACGGTAACAAAACTGTCAGCTACTGCAACGAGTCACCAACTACAAATTCCCGTAACTCTAACCACGAATGAGGATGATACCGTTGATTTGTCGCCACTGGCGGAAGAGGAACTACGACCTCAACCCAGAGACGAAGATTCTTGCGATTCTCAAGATTTTTTTCCACCCAGACTGGACTCGTTTGGTCTGGAGACGATATTAGAAGAGGAAAGAAATGATGAGGACAGCAAGCATGAAAGCGACGATGTAGATTTTGTACACAGGTCAAAAACCTCCAGCGTCGAAGTTCCGTCCAGACCAGAGACTTGTAGCTCCGAGACCCAGACGACGGAAAACATTGGCAATGTTGCTGATGTCTTACGAGCAGAAATATTAGCCACACTAGAGGCTGCCTATTCTGCTAAAGCCAACGAATTAAACGGAATTGTAAGTGGAATTTGATGACTTTCATGGCATACACATAAGTAAAGTAATTTTGGCCCTTAAATTCAATATTATATTGATTTTCTAGTCGGAACAACGACAAGCCAAAATCCTTAGATTGGAAACCGAACTGGAAAGATTAAAGAATCATTTGATGGAAATGGAGGATCAACATACTGGAGAAATGCTTGTCTGTGAAGACCAAAAGAACGAGCTAGAAATTCAACTAAATACTTTGCAACAACAAGTTTCTCGAATGATGCAACAAAGGTACGCTAAATGTTTTCAAGATAATATTTAAAGTTTCATTACAGTTGAGAGTGTTCTGCTTGGAGACGTGAATGAGGACGGTTATATAGGAATAAAAATAACCAAAAGAAATAAATACTGTTAACGAGGCGGGCAGGGTAGGAAGAATTGGACGAAAAAGTTGAATTCGTTGTAAATTGACCCGGCCAAAACTGGGAAATAACAGGAGATTGAGAGGGTTATTATTCAAGGAGCAATTATTATTAGAATTCATCCATCCATCCATCGTTCCACAAAAGTTGGAATATTAGTTGTGGGCAAAATAAGCGAATCCCAGGAAATACGACACGCCGTTCAATACAACGACGACGACGGCTGAGCCCAGGAGAAATCGAACAAAGGCGTTCCTTTGAATGATTAATTTGGATTACCTCTAGAAATTTGGAGGTTCAAAGTATTTAGGAGGTTAGAGTCAGCTTGCTTGACGACTTTGTCCAGCTTTGGAAACATTATTTAGGCTGACAAATCTTGAATAATTTAGAGCGAGCATCATTATATTTTCAACAGTATTGAATTGGAACAATGAGAGCTATTATTTGTGCTGTTCTGCTGGGCTCTCCTTTGGCATGTATGTAAATGTACGAGAGTAATCATGGGGTGATTTTATTTGTCCTGCTAACAAAACCCACCAAACCACCGTTTTGAATACCAATGTTCAATAAGGCCCAGCCATACGAAATATAGCGCAACATAGCTCCCTACCCAAATAATAATTTCACCTCTCCCATAGTCTTTAGTTGTCCAACACCCTCCGACATTTAAGCATTCGAAGCAGCAAATAAATAGAAAAAAAATCATTCCTTTATGTTGTAAATACGCGAGTTATAAAATAGATTATTTGCGACATTTACATTGGTTGAAAGAGTTCTTTTTTTGTTTTAACAAATATTTAGTGAGCGAAGCACTGACGTCAAAGACGAAATTATGCGATTGGAATCCGAAAATTCCTTTACCAAGGCACAATGTAGTTCATTTGAAGACCAAGTTCATAAACTGGGCACACAATTGCAAAACCTGAATTTCGTACTGGAGCAGTTTCAAAAAGGTACATGTTCAGACCATTTTTTATTGTTATTTATTGCTACTTTCTCCATTCTAGTCAACTCTGCTTACACGAATATATGCATGCATATATCGATATGTAGAAACGTATTTACATGAATTACTTAAATATGTATGTAATTCCTCAAAAGCCCGTCAAATTTACAATAAAAACCACATAAATGCATTGGATTTTATTTTATTAAAGAGAAAGCAGCAGAGATTGACGAGATTAGGCAGCAACTGCAGGCCGAAATTGGCAGCCTCCATTCCGCAAATAGGAACTTGATCGAGGAGCTGAAACAAGAAAAGGACCTGTTGGCTAGGTTGGTATACAATATGCGCTTCGTGGTACAAATTCTTCATGTGACACTCATCTCTTCTTTTTTATCCCGATTTAGAGCAAAATCCGGTCTTTTCGCTGCTAGTCAATTAAATGTTCAGATTGAAGAGAAATCTCGTGCTGTCTCCACTCTCAAAAGTCAAAGTAAGCTTTTTTTCCCTTATTTTACTTGTTCCTTGGCTTCTGCACTACGGGATGACATCATCTCTGCTTGAGTCATACATTATACAAAACAGTGCCCGCTCCACATCATTGTCCTTATCACAGCATTCATATATGTAATTTTATAAAGAAGTAGAATAAGATGGAATACTAACTTAAGACATTTTGGGTTTATTTATGATTAATTTATTAGTAAGCATGCCTAGTTATTAAGTGAAGCCAGCACAAACCCCTGTGCACTCGCAACGTTCCAGATTCCTGCGAAAGGGTGCACGTCACATTTAAATTTACGTTTTGTTACCCCAGCTATCACCACCACGACTGATTCGGTTGATTGAATATAACACATATGCAGTTGTATTCATTAATCTCGTGTTGTTGTCGTATAACGTTACAGCTTCATGCATGTGATCGGTTGTCAAATATCAGTTGGTAATTTGGGGTGTTTTACATTGTTTGGACTGCAAAAGTTCTGCATTGACGGCTCCCAAGTTATCTGCTGGTACTGGCCAGACGATCCACACGCCCAGCATTGAATTCCTCTCATCTTCTTCCTGCCGCTGATTGAGTTGTTGTTGCTCTTTATTTATTTTTAATACGTTCTTTAGTATTTTTTTTAAATATTTTTTTGATTTTGTATGTATATCCAGCACCCTCCGCACAACCTTGCATTTATAGTTATTTTTATTACTTATTGATCGCTGTATGGAATTGTCACAATATTGTAATTATACATAAATCACTCCTCAGCTAAAGCTGATGTTTCATATTTAATTATGGGGAATGTTGCATGAATATTAATGGATTGTAATCTTCTCTCTTATCAATCAGCCAATATCCGACTTTAATTTAAGCCCTTGTATTGAATTGTATCGAGATGATTGGTATTGTAAGCTTAATTTAATGGAGGGAGAAGGGAGAAAGCATTGTGAAATTGGACTGTCGATATAGTTTTAAGCAAACTAACTAGAATATAATATTTGCTCAATTTTATCCGACCTCATTCGGAGCAATTTAAGTAGCAATTTAGGCTTTATTCTGTTGTGTACTCATACTTTAATCAAATTATGTATTTGTTGTTGGGTAATATGGGAGAAGGTTTAGCATTGCGACGACTACGTGGACTAAGCATCCATCCATGTTTTCCCGACTGTGTGCAGATAGTTGCCGACTTTTGTCAATTTTCTAAACGGGAATATTCTATATTTCATATTATTCCACCTTTTCGATGTTCACGAATGTTTATATTAACGTAACTCTGAGGAGGGAATTGATAATTGGTTGCCTTGTCTGCTGCTGCTATAGGACTGCCTTATTGCATGAAAATCAAACGACTCCCTTTTACCAACTTTGCTTACTTTGCTTGTGCTTGACTCACATTCATACTTTATTCATGCACAGCCTTCCATCATCATCATCCTTCCCTCTTCTCTCTTCCACGATCCTTCCACGAAGCAGGCATGATTTCTACCTGGATTTTTTCATGTGATATCGCTTTCCATGAATGTATCAGTTTTATTTATTTATTCTCTAACCAACCATATCGTCTAGATTTTACTGTGTACCTTATAGATTACAGTGCACTGGATGGCTTTGCTTTTTTCGCATTGCACACTCACCATTGACCACCACCTCCACGAACTCACTGTCTAATGTCTGTCAATCCTTTCGTTTTCATTGCATGGCATAAATAATAGTTATCCATCCGTCTGACTGATGAAAGGCAACCCGCTTACACGCCGCTTATTACCAGAGTTTACCCCACTCCTACTCACTCAATACTGTCATGATGGGATGCTACTTGATTGGCGATGGTGGTTCTTTTATTTCTTCCTTATCATCAGAAGCAGTTATCAGTGGTTGGAGGTTGTTCATGCGGACGACATTCATCTCCACTTTAGTCTTTTGTGCCAATAATGTTTCATTTGTTTTTGGTTGCAAGATGCGTGGCGTGAACGACTGGTTTTCTCTCTCTAATGGCAATAACTGATGGCTTCAAGTCGCGCCCACTGCACATACCCGACGACCAGGGCTAAAATAATAAGCTGGCTAAAGACTTGAACAAACTCGTAATAATAATCCATTCCGGGTTTGTTTGTGTTTTGTGCGGTTGAGGTGAGACAACGGCGACGACGAGGACGTTGTTGTAACCTGTCCATTGCTTTCATCGGGTGGAGAATAATTTATGAAGAGCTTTGGCTTGAGAGAGAAGAGGTATCGTTGTTAGTTTTCGTCGTTTATGTTTGCTCGTGGTTGTAACCCATACTTATTATTGCTTTGTTTCGCTGTCCCCTTAATTTCAATTTCAATAGCTGCTTCTCTGCTGCTGCGAGGTTTGCCGAATCCAGTCCTGCCTCTCCATACACAAGTTCAACCTGTGTCAATTCACCTGAACGCGATGGATGGCCTATCATTTAATGCTTTTCTTCTCCTCTGCTGAATATTATTTCATACGTGGGTTAAAGTGGGGGGGATTCCGTCCGAGTCGTGTTGTTGGGACAAAGTTAGCTCCAGCTCGTGTCGTTCTATTATTTTATTTTATCTGCGGCATAGGATGACCATTCCTCAGTTGACGTTGCATGATGCAGCACTCTTCACTAGCGAGTGGTTAAAGCACCCCTTTTACGTAGCTCGCTTTCGTTTGCCCCAGTTGAGTCAACTTATTGAGATTCTCGTATCTAACTTATCAGCAATTGAATATATTGAGATAATCGCTTCAACCGCACGTTTTGATTAATTTGATTTACTTTCCTTCTTGGCATACGATCAGCACAGTGCTCCCTTCCAACGCTAATTTGAGACCTTCTTTGAAGACCGTGTGTCTCCAGACGGGACCTGTCATCGCCAAGTTTAGTTTTGTAGGGTTGCAATAACAATGTGGGTAGAAGTCACGTAGTGATAATACTCGACAAAGTAAGAAAAGACAAGCCCAACAACTTATTGGTATTTAAAAGTGAATCGGTATGTACTTGTGTGGGCAACGAGATTGTGTGTGTGCTTGAGAAGAAAGCAAGTGAATAATCATTGGCTGCCGGTGCTTTCTCTTCTTCTCCTGGAATACTCCCAGTGTTTTTTTGGTGAAACGCATGCAAACCAAACCACACGTCTGTCGCGCCGTCGATATGTATTGATGTAAAGTCAATTGAATGAAATAAAAATCGACCTTTTTTGTGGCCCTCGCCCCTGCTGCTGGTCTGGTATTAGTTGGTTGGACTAATCTCATTTGGTAACTCAGAGACGAGACAGGCTTCTGAGCTCTCGGGTTGCTTAGTGAGATCGGCCCACGGCTAATCAATCCATCTCTTTCTACTAACTACTAATAAATCGGCTACTTCTCTCTTCTGACCTCCACTGCTCCTACTGCTGCTTCAATAATTCTTAACTTTTAAATACGCCTAATAACGAACATCATCCTCTTTAAAAGTACTAGTAATAAAATAGTAGTATCACGGGTGAGAGAGCTGTCAAAATCTATCAGACCTGTTTTTTGTTGTTGTTTAGCTTTGTCTCCTCTTACTTTCTCTCATCCCAGTCTCTCCAACGTGTCTGTGCTAATGCTAATATTAACTAACAACATTGTCAAGTCAGAAGTAGATCAGTCGAACGATTCGCTGTATATTCACACGAGGGGTGAGAAAAATGTAATAAGTTACGAGTATGATCATCATCATAATCTGATTGTTTGTTAATTTACGTTATAATTTACCTAAAAGAATATTGTTAAGTCTTTTATAATTATTGATTTGTAAATATACCCTTCTGCTTGGAATTGCGAGTTGCGAAACCTAACTCAGAGCGAAAAGATGAAACCTAGATCAATTTTGGTCCCGCTGCCTGTTACCCAATTATACCCAACCAATCAACCTTCGCATTACCTTATATTCGGAACTGGGCTCGCATGTAATAAGTACCAATTTTTGCTGAAAAGTGATTGAAAACTGAATATTGAGTATTATGTCAGGTTACCGGTTTTTTGCTACACCGGTATCTTTTATAATACTTTCTCTTCGGTTGGAACTCCCAGCATGGCCTTTTTTTGGAATGGAACAAACCCAACCTTATACCTGCATCCTCGTCGGTTTTGAATTCTTTGACTACAGCTTTCTCCCACCTAACAACCTACCAATCGACAGATGTAGAGGATTACCAAAAGGATCCAGCTCGTCCGCCTACTTATCTTTACGTATAGTACGTAGCTAGCTTTTGAAATACCAGCTTTCGTGAAACGAACCAAGAGAAGAAAGTGAGAAAGAGTAAACGACAATGTATTTAAGTTAGGAAGTGTTTTATACAGCATGACTTATGCAATGCTAAGAGGTTAGAATTCTAAAGCGTATAATAATCCAATAAAAATTAATCCTGCTATTGGTATCATTCACAGTACACGAGAGAGAGGCCGAAATGGTAAAGCTGAAATCCCAGTTGGACGAGCTGTCGAATAACAATGTGGCTAAAATCGACCGGTAAGACGGCACATCACTTATGAATACAAAGAGGGTGCATATTATATGTGCATTGGCCTGTGCATGGCTTGTTCTTTATGAGCCTCACTTTATTTTCTGCCCATGATGGCGGAGGCTTGTTATGTACGGCTTTCTCCCGAAAGGCCCCTTAATGAGATTTTAATATGCAGTTATGTCCCTTGCTGATGCAGGTACCTTGTAAAGAATCTGGTCGTAGGCTACTTTTCAACGCCGCCGGATAAAAGGCAGGTAAGAAGAAAGCGCTGTATACATATTGGAAGAAAGGGTCAAAATGCAGTTTTCCCATCTTGCAAACTCTAATTTGTTGGTTTAATGTCAGTCCAACTTTGCCATTTGCAGGAAGTTTTGAGGATTATTGCCACAGTGTTGGATTTTAACCGAGAGGACAGGTATGGCAAACTCAAGCTGTGTGTGTCATGCAATCCTAACAGCTTTCTCCTCAATCTGAAATTTACCCTGTTCGTTACAGGCAAAAAACTGGGCTAGAATCTACCTCATTATGGCCATTCAGGTCTGAAAGTGCTACCGCTGGAGACAGTAATCAGGTATTACCATTATTATAAAGTTGGCCTTGTATTTCCATACCTACTATGAACGGCGCAAGTGTGTCTAATATCTATCCTCAAAAGTTGTATGACCTGAGAACGTGTGTCTCTCGAATACATCTCTTAACAAAGAGGCAGACTCAAAATGTTGTAATTTTCTGCAGAGTCTGTCGCAGGCGTTCATTAAGTTTCTGGAGAGAGAGTCATTAAGCCAGCCGAAGGCTCAAATTAAAATCTCGATGGAGGAAATTGCAAAGAAACATTCGAGAGTAAGATTATAGCAACATTTCCATATTTCTCGTATATTTCATTCTCTACGACTTTGCCTAATTTTATGGTTATTTTATTTCATTCGGTTTTTAGACCCCCTCGGAATCTAGCACGGCTTCCGGATCAAACCAGTCATCCAGTCCACATCCGTCGGAAATTTCAATGACATTGCCCGTGCTAAACCAAGCTGATCGAAGTAACTCTATTTTGAAAGATGTGTTAAATCCAAGAACATAGCAGATAACACACTAATACATATATTAAGTTTATAATGCATAGTGTAAAAATATAGATCATAATTTTGGTAATGAATTACAGATAGTGTTAATAAGATAAATCAAATATGTTAGATAAATAATTTTAGCCATCTTCCCATGATAACGTTCCTTCAAAAAATACATTGATGCAATTTATTGTGACCTGAGCGAAGATTAATTTATAATGTCCATGTAATATATTATATGTGTCCACTTTTACTCCAAAGACATATCAGTATGAGATGCATAATATGTGTTGCCAAAAAATAAAAGAATTATGCTTTAAATAAATTGTGCACTTGACAAATCCATGACTTGTTGATTCGTAAAAAGAAAACGCTATTAAATACTTTTTACTTCTATAAGTGTATTTTCGTTTATTAAGAGTAAATGGTTGTTAAAACTAACAGATTCGGTTAAAATGTTTATAAAGTTGCATTAACTCCCTTCTGTTGAAGTGGTAATTTCATGATTCCAAAATCCAACATACACGCCGTTCTTAACATATTTATAGATGTATCTAACTATATTCTTAAATATTTTCACAGTTATACAACCCATTACACATACACAGATCCACCCACACACATGTACTGTATCATTTTTCGGAGGGAGCAATATAGCGTGTCTCGTCTCCGAGTGCATTTTATCTACTTCATCACCCGTACGTATAATATGTATGTATGTATCTCAATAGAATATAAAACCACACTCACGCATGATACACGGTATCCACTAGCAAGTTGAGAAATCAAAGGGGAATTCGTACTCGTCATCATTCATCGTGGGAGTAATACATCTTCTTCTCATGGATCATGTATGCAGACAGTTGTGCAGAATTGTTCTCTCGGACATTGTGGAGTTTAGTAATAATGAACAATAATCCATAACAGAACATATAATATAGTCTTTAGCAATATGTTATCATCCTGCCGCCTTTTCAAAGCCGGCTACCAATGTCTCTATAATTAATCGAATGGCTATCTTATAAATGTTCTCAATATTTTCTGTGTACCGCTCGTCCAACGTCGTCTTCACGGCTTCCAGAAACGGCTTCTCAATTTTCTGCAAAAACAAAAGGAATCAAAAGTGCATTAGAAGTGGGAAAACGATCTTTTTGCGTTGATTCCTTCCTGCCGAGAATCTAAGCTACAACGTCCGCTCGTTTATCATCCCGTGACACAGAAGAAGACGAAAAGCGTGTCTTCCACCCCGACCACACCGGGGCCGTCCTCCCTCCGGCTCTCTCATTATTCCCATTATCATGCTTGATTTGGAGGAAATTAAGAACTTGGCCAACATTACGTTCTGATATGACCGTCCTTGAATTGCCCTCCCGGCCACACACACACACAAAACGGCCTACCACCGCCACGTCCCTCCTCTCTTTGGGCGAATCTCTCTCTCTCTCTTTTTCCCTCTCTCGAGTGAAAGTCAGTCAAAGTGGGAGCAGTTGGAGAAGGATGAGAAGTTGTCTTCTTGACTGACTTTTAGCCTTGAGCACCAAACAAGAGCATCCTCGATCCTCATTTCTCCTCCTCAACAAGCATCATCATGTATGCGGCAGGGCGGACAAAAAATTGTCCATTAGCTGAATTTATATACATACATACACACGCTTTCTCCTCCTCGATCGTCTCCCTCCCTCGCATCTTCAGGCCACAAAGTCTTTCACTTTATATGGCAGCCAAGCCATGTAGTCCTTCCTTTTGTGCAAGTATGTATGCACCCGATTTTCCTCCCGATTCAAACCGCAAGTGTTTTATTCCTTTCACCAAATCCCCTCAAAGTCATGACTCAATCCGCCCACTGAACCATGTTCATATTGTGCATGCTCAATATCACTTTCCCATTTGTAAAATATTTTGCAAACTCCTTCACCAACCAAACCACATGTTCATGCATGATCGCAATTTAATGAAACCTATGATTCTGTGAACACAGGGTAAGAACGAACGGATGGATGATTCCGATGGGCAATCTGACAAGTGATAAAAACTGGAGTAATCAGGGGGGTTAAATCCGAAGGAATAAGACTGGACCACACCCATCCATTAAGACATTACTGACTAGCCCCAACAAGGAGAAAGCAATTCAGGGGCGTGGGAATGAAAATGGCTGATTTTATCGTAGATCGGTAGACATTCTCTCGGATTTTGGATTCCTTTCCGTCGCCACGGCGGAAAATCTTTCCCTGTTCGTCGTTCCTCAACTCGTGTCCGCCTCCAGCCAGCCGATGGAATATCTAATCCGACCCCGACATGACTGGGTTAGTGAATCAACTGGGAATCATCATTTGGAACCCTTCAAGCCATTACCATTAGCAGATTCGACTCCTCTCTTTCCGGTCAAATGGCTGTCTCAATATTTTGATAAATTATATATCAGATTGAAATTCTGAAGAAGTTCTGCAATCTTCCTCTCCACTCACGGCCATTGTCCCCTCAAAACTTTATTTACGACGCAAAACTATGCAATATGTCCAAGAGACAGCACAAATTGTGGTTTACATTATCAGTGACGATGAGGACAAATTTCACTATAATACAGATATTCATAAAATTTGGCAATTTTAGGAGACAATCCAAGTTTTCCAAATAATGCGTTATCAAATAATTGACTCTAAATTAAGATGAAAATTTGGGACATTTTTATTTTTCACTCGCGAATGGCCATTCTTACAGGCGACAGTTGCAGACAAATAGGATAACCCTGACTTTGTTATAGAAATGCCAAATAACTCAGATTCCGCGGCAGTGATTGGCACTGGCGCCATAAGATGACAAGAATGTGACAAAAAATATTTTTCCTGAACATGACACAAGTGTAGTATCGAAAGCTTGGAATAAACATATCTGCGTTATTTTAAAGCAATCATGTCGTCCGCTAACTCTAAGCCAAATAGAAAGTGACAATTTGTATAAAAAACAAACAAGAGCGAATTTTATTTTTGCAGTACTGCATAAACTGTATGCATAATTGGGCTTATCTAGTTCGGAAACGTATGAAACTCTAATCTCGTTTATAGTAAATAAATATTTTGACACGACTTTTCCCATTTTCATCGCGCAGTCTTTTTTGGAAATCGCATAGTTTCTATGTTTGTATATTATTCCAGAAATCAGGAAAAATATCAAAGTGATCCGCAATAAAAACGACGAAAGGAAAACACTCGCATCACCGCCGTTTGTGGAACACGTTGTTGTGCAGAAATTATGAATGGCAAAGTCAACAATAGTTCTGCATGCAATTAAGAGCATTCATACACGAGTTAGGTAAAAGCCAGTCATTCGGATCCGACTCATTCAATCCTTCATTCTGGGCGAGTCATTGTCCGGTTGGTTGCTTTAGGCAGATCCCAGAGGATACATGAGTGAGGATTCTGTTTCTGACACGACACTAATTAGATCACACGCCAGATATCCAGAATATCTTGGATCGATAAGCACACAGGTTCCATTCGACGCAGCCATGGAACACATTTGACTACACATTCGAGATCTGACACAAATCTGCTCATTTCCACTCAATAGCAAAAGTGATGTCGTAAACCTGGTTTTAATATGCTGCAGGAATTTATACGACTTTTCCAGCTCTTCCTAAATGCCATTTATTAATGTCACTTGATTGTCTGCTTTTCACTGGGAAGACTACGCAGAAGAGCTGGTGACTAAGGATAAGTGTAGGAAGTCATAATAATAAGACTCGAATAGTAATCCATAAAGTTAAAAAGTTTGTCAAGAAGAGAAAGTTTCGTACCCAAAAGTAGTCTTTGTTGTATCCGGGGATGCGACGATGTGTGGAACCGACTTGCTCCACAAATTGGAAGAAAGCTGGATAAAGGAGAAAAGTAAATCTGTGAATTACTTGCCTATTAATAATAATCATAATAAATAATATTGATGTGAAGCCGGCGTAAGGGGGCCAATCTTACCATCGGGATTGTCAAGCGTACGAATTGCGTTGTCCAACGTGTTCATCACCATCGTGGCGTGTTCCGCCAACTCGAGACTTTCTTCTTGCTCCTGACGTGTTCGCAGATTTTGGAATTTCTTGAAATTTGGAATTTCAAACAGTAAAAAAAATACATGAATGACAAAAAGAATAAATACAGATTAATTCCTAAACTATACGATGACAAAGAGTAATACTAAACAGAGGGACTTAATCGAGTGGGGGTGGGGAGTGGGAAGTGGGGAGTGGGAAGTGGGAAGTGGGGAGTGGGGAGTGCGGAGACACGGAAAAACTTAAATCCCAACGTTGTTTACTTTTCCACTCGTCGCTTCTTCTCCGTTCTCTCACTCTCTTATCAATGTAGTCCCACTTAAATTTGAATTAGTTGCAAATAAAAAGATAATAAATAATATTGACTAGTCTCAGTTAGGTCTTGAGAAAATGGATAACGCTTTAAAAGATAGCAATCTTGCCAGAGGAGAACTGAAGTGCAGTTTATGTGATAGGAAGTACAAATCGGTAAGATCATTAAAGGCTCATATGACAAGTAGACATGAGAATCTTGGAAAGTTTGTGTGCAACATGTGTAATAATACTTTTGACTCCAAATATGCATTAAAGATGCATATGCAAAAAAACAATTGTGTCAATAGTCAGAAAGAAAACTCAAAAGGTAATCAAAAATTAAAATGTAAGTTCTGCGCTATGACTTTTGACAAACAGAATCCTCTAACTCTCCATTTGAAACGTCAACATTACGACGTCGTGTATAAGATCAACTGTCCCAAATGTGACAAAAAATTTGCCAATCATGCTGGTTTAAGTGCACACCACAGAATCTATCACAGTTCGAAGGAAAAAGTACGTTGCCCAAATTGTCCATTTACTTGTATCAAAAATGGTAACCTACAACAACATATTGCTAGCATGCATTCAGATAAACCAACCAAGAAAGCGGAACAGAAGGAGCTACTTTCACCTGCAGAGATAAGTCTCGAAAACTACCGTAAATATAAAGCAAATCCCGGTGATAAAGTTGTGCCATGTGTCATAATAAAAAGTGAATACTATTTGAAGTTGATTAGACAACAGTTTCAAAATCTTGAACTTGTTCGACTTGAGACGCCAGTTGTTTTTGATGAAGTGAGTGGACAACGTCATAAGCCGGGGTGGGGCTATAAGTCTGAGGATAACAACACAGATATTTCCTACGTCCAACTTACAGAAGAAGAACTGTGTAAGTAATAATAATCAGATATGATGATTAAAACTAGTAATCTCTTAATTATGTTAAAATATGATACATATAAAATATGAAAGTATGTATGCAAAATGATATGATGGAATGAACAAATTACTTATCTATTCTACTTTTTTGGGATGCAGTGACTTGTAAGAAAATGTTTGGATACATATGGCGTGATGGAGTGACTTTCGAGATCGTGGATTTGTATTTTGGTCTGAATCAGGAGAATTTCAAAGTAGCAGCAGAAAATAAATGGCAACTTTATGTATTCAATAAGGATAAGGGCTGTACAGATAGGTGGGTATATTAATTATTGTATTACTACTCTGGAGAGTCAAGTTTCAAATTTTATGTAGCTGAGACTAAATAATTCTTATTTATTTTCACAGGATTCTGTTCAACAGCGGGTGTTTCTTCGATTCAGAGGAGGCGTTTGAGGTCACAGGCATGGTGGCAACATCAAAGTGGGTCGCAGGGCAGCTCAAATGGTTTACACGTAAGGAAACTGGGTCTATCTGTTCCGTCAAACCTGAGGAATGCTACGGGTGGCTCGCTAATTATCATGAACAACTCCGAGCCGCCTTACGGTCAGTTAATCACCTTTGGCTTGGACCAGCCGTAACTGTCCAGTTAGACAACAAGGAGGAGCTAATTATGGCAAGACGAGAGTTGGAAAAATGTAGGGACGAGATGTATAAGATGGAAATTGGGTGAGTAATGTTATAATTTTCATGATGATTGGAAATACATAACTCATTTCAATAAATATGCTCATTTCATTTATACTTGTATTTAAGGTATAACGATAAGCTTTCAATCCTAACGGCGGAGAATTGCAAATTGCGACTGCGTTTACAATCCTGGAAGAAGAAGCAACAAAAGGCCAAAAACGTGAACCGTTTACTTCTGGTGCAGAGAGGACGAAAAAGGTATGCATACATTTTGCTAATGGTTACATCAATATGTGATATAACAATGTGTAGTCTAATTATGTATAATTTGCAGTTCAAATGCAGACGTTCCGTGCTTTTTGCCTGTGACTTTTAAGGTGGATGAAGACGGAAACTTGAAGCAAGAAGGTGAACCCAACTTCGACATATGCAGGGAGGAATCGGCGCATGATGAAGATGAAGAGTCAAGCAGTGATGACGACGACGGCGTCGAGTATGCAAGAGTCCCTACAGTTTCAGATCTCATCAACGTTGTCACGAAAGTGCTTGACCGTTCAGAATCCTCTACCGAAACTAGTCCTAATGGTGCAAATCCAAATCATGAGACTGACCCGTGTGATGAAAAGACTGAACCTAACCGAAAAGTGTTCGTAGTAAAACTGTGATTAATTATTTGTCATTCTTATATATTGTTTGATGAACCTTTTTTGGTGCTATTATTATCTAACTATTATAAATTTATGAACGTGTTGTCATAATAAAACAAGCATTGATATTAATTATCGATAACTAAGGCTTACCTCAAACAGATCCAACAGCTCGGCATTCTCCTCGAACAGTCTGCAATGAAACAGGAAGGGAGAGATTTAAACTCTGATGCTGGGAATTTTGGTCTTATTTGCTCTCCTCTGGCAGTAATAACCCTGATCGTAACATTAAGACACTCAGAGACAGGGTGGACTTTAAGCAGAAAACATAAAAATAACAATAACTATGAATATCAATGTCACACATCAAGTTCCCAATATGTTATGTCCTTTGTAGAGCTATATGCGTATCTAGAGATGGAATATTTGGCTAAAAAAGGTTACTTTAAATCATTTCATACCAACCATAGGCAATTGTCCAAAAAATTAGAGGACTGCACAAATTCTAGGATTATGTATGCGCTTGCTGTCACCACGAGTAAATAATACTTTGACCATAACTGACAAATTGGTCATCATTTACCATTGCTATTGCCACAATGCTACTATTGCGGGTTCTGAGAAAGTCTGCAATAATTTATGCCATTGTCCACTACGTGTCTCAACTTTCCAGTCAAGATAGTTCATACATGTTACGCGACGCCTCTCTTGATTTTCTTCACTTTAAGTATGTTTAACTCATAAGTTCACTTCCTTGTAAATAATGCGTTTAAATTTTATTAAGAAAGTTACCCGGACACGTAACGCATCTCACCCGCCGTGATACACAAAGCTGAGTTTTTGGCAAAAGAATGGGAAACATAAGAACAACTGGATACATTTTGGGGTTGCTGACGCGAACGTGCCTGAATAAACGGTTCACACCTGCACAAACATTTCTGCGCTTATGGCTTTGGCACAACAAACATTGGCCCTTGCTCGAGTGTCAAGTTAAGTAAAACAAAATAGTTCTGCTTTCCTGTGTCCGGGTCGTGGTGGTGGTCTCGGCGTATTTCAGATACAGCTTCATATGTGATGCACGAGTTGTCAATTTTGTGTAGTCTCATGAACCTGGACGCGTTTTACGACTCGTGTGGCGTTACTCTCAAATGCACAGTATTTCCAGAGAGTGCGCTTAATAACCAATCAAATGTCTATATGGACACAATAAAAGATGTGGAAATGTCTGCCTGCTATTTGAACGCTTGATACAAATGTCCTGAGCAATATGTACTGACAAGTTTTCCACCAATTCAGCTACACAAACTCTTCCCTTATAAATGAGTGTCATATGTATAAGCATCCCATGTAGAATTCTGGATTTATATACGTGCATACTTGTTCTAACGTCCATATATTTTCATACTTATGTACACACAAAGGTATTATGGAACCGCAAATTTGAAACTAAGTAACTAACGAGGCTCGGCAACTTTGGAAGTTTGAGGACTTGAGGGGACGATGTTTTGAGGCGGTTGTTGTGATGCGTGATGATAGCATTTAATGAGGTGGTGATGATGGAACGACGTCACCAGTCTGGATTTGAGAGAGATGGGCGAAGACTATCCAGCCCAAGATCAATAGCGGTCACACTCGAGGGGTCATTGTTCACGACGGTCTGTGACCAAACTGTCCATTCTGCTAATGCATTAATCCATGAGGCAAGTTAATGGCATCAATTTGTTTGCGCTTGCATTGGCCTGAATCCCTTTGCCACTGCTACTTACATACTTACTGCGAATGCAAATATTTGTCCAGGCTTTCACTTTATGCATGCCACCAAGTGCTCGCTCCTTGTTTGACTTTCTCTCTCTTCTCATTTAAGGAATTTCTCCAACAACCAAGAACAATGACAGTTATTTAATATGCGTGCTACTTGGGGATACATCTTCCATATGGGGATGTCATAATGTCGTCGTTTCCAGCAATTTGCATGATATTTGCATATCCATCAGTAATATCACCATGCATGTATTTCTGTACGTACCTACGTGCATTTTAGGTTATACAAATGTCAACCTGAAGAAAGAAGAACATTTTGCAGAACTTTTAGATTTATAAATGTGAGAAAACCGTCAAAGCCCAATAGGTCGTCGTCTCATGTGAATCGTATTATTAATTCAGTGCATACATATCTATGGACATTTTAGCATATGTAATTCAGCGAAATTCAATCGAATTGTCAGACGGAGACATAAATACAGTAATTGAGCACAATGCAGTAGTGCAATGTACATGTATACCTTGACTATTCCCTTTCTGCAGCAAATAATCGAGCACTATTAGGAACAGAACAGCATTACATGTGGCGTCGTTGTGGACGATTATTATCACGGGCTCAATGACGCAACAACCCAACTCGGTCGCATGTTACAGTTCTCATGTCAAACTTTCAACCAGATTAACAAAAAAAAAAGTTCGAGACGTTGCACTGCATAGATTTGCAGGTAACTACTTAATTTTTGTGTATTTCCAATGTACGCACTAAAGGAGAATATATTTCGACCGATGAGAAGGGAGAAAGGAATCAACCTGCTGAATATGCTTCGATTTCTAATCCTCACTTTCCCCATTGTCCTTTTCGTATGTATTATTACAGTGCAAATAATATGAAACCTTATGGTTGCATTGCATACAACAGTCAGTGTAGTGCTTAAAAGGCGGACGTCGGACGATGGCGAATTTTGTATATCCTTGTAGCGGTGCGGTCTTTGTTACACAATAATAAATCGCTATGCCGCTATCATCCCTGGAACTCTGAGCTGCATGTGTGTGGATGGATGGCAAGCGGTGTTGGGAGGGGAATGGACTTTGTGCGAGGGAAAGAAGTCAGGATTTCACAATCTGGAGTAAAGTGTTCACGTCCATTGAAGTGAAGCCATAATAATAAACGGCGTCTCCCCGACAAAGAGTTCTTATTGTATCATTGTCCAAAAGAGCGACCTTTCCTCATAATTTATGGGGTTTGAGATACGATATGATAGTAATCTCATAAGCACAACTTTCTCTCCTTTCACCTCTCGCTGGATTTATGTGAGATTTCTGGCTGACAAACAGTACTAACCATTCCGCATGGCCACAGTATGTGTCGCATGATATGGAAGGAATAAATCACCATTAAACGAATTTGATGTTGTTCTCCTCCTCAGAAACGTTACTCTGAAACATCTCTAGTGGCTCACATATTTTATATGAAAATAAATATGGGCATGGAATAGGGCTCAATATAAAAATAAAGTAATTATTAGAGAGTTAGAGATTCCTTGTACTTCGACTGTAGACTGTACTGTGGACTCTAGATGATGACGTCATCAGCTTTTTGTACTAATTCTACAGTCTACAGTACACAAATTGAAACACGGGCTCAGTTTGTACTACTGTGGAAAAATCAAGGGTTGGCAAGTATATCTCCAGAACGCCTCAATATAATCAGACGCTGTTTGCGCCATTTTGCTTCTAATTTTTGACCCTAGGTCGAGTTCGAAGATGGGCGCCCTGTGGTCAAGGTCAAGGTCACCCTGGCGTGAAGTAAACGCAAAATTCAACCTTAATTTTCATATGCGGTGTCATTTTAAAGGAAATTTCACGAAGAATTCATCGTCGTCAATACTTTTGACCTCCGACCAACCCATAATCGAGAGGACGAGGTCAAAGGTCAAAATTGAAGTGTCGACTGTTTTAGACTTGGGTTTGGGCGCGAATTTCAGAAATTGACACAGTTTTAACGTGCGAAGACCCCGAGACCACGTAGACCAGGTCAAAGGTCAAAAATATTTATTTTTTATTTGGACCGTTGCAGACGTGTTTAGTTTGAGGCGAGGAGTTCAAAAATCACTATCGTTTCGGATTACATCAGCCTGGTGATTGTTGTAAACGAGGTCAAAGGTCAAAAATATCGAATTTTAAGTTTTGAACATTTTAGCCAGGGTTCGGAAAAACCCAGGGTTTTAATCAAAAATTATAAAACCCATGGGTTTTAATGGGTTTTACCATGTTAATTGGGTTTTATTTGGGTTTTAATGGGTTTTAATGGGTTTTATTGGGTTTAAATGGGTTTTATAGGGTTTTATTAGTTTTAAGTAATAACTTAACAAAAATAATTAGGAATTTGTATCTATTCGGAAATTATTTTGTTTTATAACACTTGAAATCTGTGATGCTAAAGGATGGAGTCAATTATTGAATTGTTCCGAATTTTCATATATTAGAATAGTAATGAAATAAACTGCTTTAGAATGAATTGAGATAACGTCTTCTAACGTATAGGAGATGTATTTAACTTTTAGAATGTAGTTTTTAAGTAAAACTCAATTAAAACCCAATAAAACCCATTAAAACCCAAATAAAACCCACTTAACATGGTAAAACCCACTGGGTTTTATTCATTTACAACCCATTAAAACCCATTAAAACCCAATAAAACCCAACCCATTAAAACCCAGGTCGGAATACCCTGTTTTAGACACAATTTGTGGAAGGAGGTTCATTTCGTATATCATGAGTTGATTTGTCTCAATTTTTGACGCATCTATTTCGCGGAGTTCTACAATACAATTTTTCAGAGTACAAAATAATGGAAATTCTCTAGGTCTTTTGAATTTTGTACTAATTTTTGTATTGTATTGTAGTCACAGTACAGTACAAGTAAAAATACAAAAAATCTCTAAGTCTCTATTGAGGGGTCAAATAATTATTTGCACATAAAAGTCGAATTTGTAAGTACAGTGGTCGGCATTTGTCATTCGGGGAAATAGATAAATGATGATGTCCACTATTCGATACGTAGTTCCGGCTTGCTCGCCTTCTGTCGCCGATTGTGGGAGATAGGAATACAGCCACCACATCATCCAACAAATTTATGGGTCCCACAGGGCAATGACTAGTCCCGTTTCAACCCGTGTAACCAAACCATTTATTATTACGGGATGTCAACAAGGGGAATTATATTTCATCGGCCAGCATTCTCTAGCCAAGGGTTTCTAGTACAATTTCCCTTTGGAAATTTGTTGGGCTGCTACCTAGTTCAATTATAGCTTCGCATCGAAACCTGTCATATGTTAATCTACTGCACGACCACGCGGTTCATAATTTGTGGGTAAGGGTACTCACTTGACGAACATGAGAATGCCCGTGGGTTCCAACGCCCTGTGAATTCCCTTCCAGGACGCCACGAGACTGTACTTTTGTTTGGCCGTCATGGGAATGCGAGGATCGGCCTGAGCCACGCCAGATGATGGGCCAGCTGCTGGTGCTGCTGCTGTCGATCCACCCGCCGCTGCCCCCGCCGACCCGCTGGCCCCACCACCATTCTTGCTCCCACCCCCCGCGTCGTCCTCCTCCTTGCTCCCTCGACAGCCCATTCTTCGCGACTTGAACAAGTTGAACTTACCCATAAAACTCCGTCCCCTCAACACCTCGCCACCCTCCGCATTTCAGAAACCATGCAAGTGAACCATGAGAAGCCTTAATTTGTATCAGTCTGTCTGTCTGTCCGTGTCCAAATCAGGCTGTATGAAATACGACGCGAAATATACGCTACACCCGAGCGAAAGGGTCTACTCTTATTACGACGTGTCAGAAATAGTAGTGTTCAAGTGAGAAGGAGACTCGGTGAAAGTTTCCATTATGCGGGCCAGTCAGCCACACGTCAACAGAGAGAGCACACCACTTTCACTCCTTAAACCAACACCACCACCACCTCCACCGTCAACGTCTTCTTATCAAGCTCAGGAGGAGAAACGGTGGAGAAAAGGAACTGCTGCACTGGAACTCAGTCCCACGAAGACGGAGGAAATAACACAAGAAGAAGACGACGGCGAGGAGGAGGAGGAAGGAACGCGATCGATTTTCCTCTCACTTATTATATTCGCTCTCTCAATGAATTATGGTAACTTGTGAATCGTGTGGAGTTTCCTGATTTTGTCGCTCTTATGATTCCCACGATTTGAGCACGTTCAATTTCAACGTCAACAAACTTCACTTTTCCCCTCGTTCCAGGGACAAATGACTGTTTAAAAAACTTGGGGGATTTTCAGGTGGAAAGTTATTCCGAAGCACCTCTCCGATGAAATCAGATTGGACCAAGGCGGAGGAAATGTGAGATTCCTACCGTCACAAGATTTTCTCGTGTTGCAAGAAACGCTCTCGCTCTCGTGCACTTTTTTTCTTCGTCTGAGATCGTATCAATGGCAATCTTTCTGCCCGTTTGAAGCGAAATGTGAGTCACGTACAACAACGAAGCAGCCTTCCTCACATCTCGTCCACATCAACTGGATGGGAAAAATGAGTCCAATCTCGCAATTCAAAAAATGATCCACCTCGTCAGCGGACTCGCATTTGTTCCTTTGCTATCCAGACTTTGATATAGCTCTGGACGAGGAAAGATTTAGATAGCCGTGCAGACGGAGATACGTAATTTCTTCTCCGCTGGATGAGGTATGTAGCATGTAGGTAGGTGGGTACAGCTCGGAAGGGTTGTCAGAAGGGAGAGCACGTAATTTAAAATCAACGTTATTTATCTACATGGACTATATTTACACAAAAACGCGTGCATACGTCGGTCGTTCGCCTTTGTTATTTTATAGGGTGCTTGCTGGTCTATTTTGCTTTGGCTATACTTGTTGTACGGACGGAGAAACTTGCACAATTCTGGGCAACTATTTTCCTCCAGGAGAAAGCACACAACACAAGAGTGGTCCGTTGGTCGGTCGGTCGGTCGTTTCGTTCGTTGCGTTGCTTGATGACGATGGTGAACTGGAATGGAAAGTTGGCACTGCTTTCTCCAACGTGAAATGGCAATGGAGGCAGCCAGCAGCCCGTGTTGAGGATGTACGTTCGTACGAAGTGGAGAGTTAGTGAATAAGTTGAAAGAAGAAAAAAAAGTCTTTGGGCGGAATCCACTTTTTGCTTTTTATGTCGAATTTAGTTGGAATGAAGGAGTGCTTGCTGCAGCCACGTCGTCTTATTCTTCTCCTCCTAGATTGGCCTTATGATATTCCACTTTTTGATGCATGTACATATCCATCTCGGCCGTGGAGGTTGGTTGGGGAGCTCTCTCTGGGAATATTAAATGGTGGATGGAGTAGCACCACCACCAACAACTTTCTTCCAGCTCAAAATTTGATACTGCTCAAGGAAATCCCACCGCTCAACTACAACGGAAGCATCTTGGCGGGTGGGTGGGTGGACTTTGTACGCGAGGAGGAAATATTATTCCACTTTTTTGTAAAAAAAGGGCTCAACTTGCTCAACAATTTAATAATTCACTCTCCGGCACACATTCATATAAACAAAAAAGTTTTACAAGTTTTACTTTCTCAACTTTCTCCTTATTTTCCTCCTTCTCGTCTGAGGTAGGACTGGAAAAAACGGGTTGTGAATGGCTCTTCCTCCAACTCAAACACTTTTGGAACAAAGTGGGAAAGTCATCAACTGATTGTCCTCGGCAAAATTCATACGTTATAAAGAAGGAAACCTGGAATTAAGCAATCTGCAGTTAAAAGTATATATGCATAACTATGGGCTGCACATTTCCGTGTAGTGGAATAGTCGGATAGCGGAATGAGTCTTATACGGCGAGTGGTGAGGGGGGAACGGAAACGACACCTTTTATTCCGCAGGTGAGCCAGATAATAACTCCAAATTGGAATTTTGAGTGTGGAACGTAAGGCTGGTGCTATTCTTAGAATAGCTTTGAATATGGATCCAGCCGAAAATGAGAGTTGAGACAGAAATGGTCTTGCGTAGGAGTTTTTTTTATCGTCTCTTCAATCCAATCACGGAATACTTTGCTATCCGGTCGAACCAGTGCCTGCCTCGGTGCGGTTGGTGTCAGACAATGGCTATTATGAAATATTGGAATGGCGATACTGTTTGTGCGAGAATCTCAACTCAAGGATAGGGAAATTGCTCCATCCAATTCCACTCTCCTCCTGCACGATGTTGCTCCACTGCCGGACAACAAAGGAAATCGAACACTTTGATGAAATCTCGTCTTCTTCGCTACTTCCTCCTCCTCTCTTTTAGCCTCATTACACTGTTGGGATGAATCTGATTGGAGCAAATTATTGGAAAGTGCACCAAACCTCAACGGGCGAGAGGAGACGAGAAAAGTTGGGAACGAGTGACTAATAAGTGACTTGAACCAATTTTGACACCACTTAAACTCCACTTTGAACAAAAGTCGCTTGATTCACTTATTACGTTCTGGCACGGAACCGGAGCCTCCTCGTCTGCCTACACGCGAGGAACATGGAGTGACGGGAAGAATGGAGGAAAATGTGGACACGGGGATGCCAACAAAATTTGACGATTTGACGGCAGTGTCGACGTATGTACGACAAGATCCCTCACTTTGTTTCCTGATTATTCTTGGAAGAAAATGTGTTGATGGAATTGTTGCTGGTGGTTGGATGCTAGTGTGGGCATGTGGCGAATGGTTGCGTGATCTGGTAAGAGTACAGAGCTGACCTAAATCTTTAAAATGTCACTTGGTTAATACTTCTTTTGCAGATGCGATGGCGAGGCTGTTGCGAAGCAATCCAATTTTCCAACTGTTCGTTTCACTCTCGTGGTTGTGTTACACGAATTTTACAACTCTCCGAATTTCCATGCGATGCGGCGAGTTCACCGAAGAACGGTTGGCCTTCTGGGGTCTGGTTTGGTTAGCAAAGTGAATCTGAAAGAGATTAACAGATAATTCAATTAGCTCCTTGTTGTACTCGGCCCAACGTTTCAACACCACCACTACAAAACTCTGCCAAGCGATGTTGCAGAGATTTGCTCGAGTATTTGGCCATCGACAAGACCAGTGCAGTACACACGGATGATAATAATTGTGATTTGACCCACACACAACTGCTCCGTTTTACGGGCGGGTGGCGACAACGACGACGACGACGACACTAAATATATTTATTTCCCCGGCAATATGCGGTTTTCAGGTCCTGCACATTATTGCCCATCCTTGAAGTAGCGAGCACTAATCCTGAGTGGTAGTCCATGAGACAACAACTCTTCTCGTTAGTTGTGCATGTACTACAAATTTAATTAGCTCACCACCCTTCATGTCATAAAGATGCTAATACGTACCTCGCCAAAATTGACTTGAACCAAATTTTGCCCTACTCGCCTCCACTACAAACCGACTAAACTCGAGTTCTCTGCATGCATGGGTTTTATGTAAAATAATGACGTGAGGTGATGATTATTACTGCCAATACATGCATATGTACATTCGTTCGTGCATATGTATACGTACATGCCAGTCAGTCAATAATACCTTTTCTGCTGCTTTGGATTGAATTGTGTTAATAATAAGAATGAAAGGAATACATCTGTGTCAGCAGCACTCATGACATGCTCGTCAACTCTTGTGTGCCGCATATTGTTTAGCATTTGCTAATCACACACAAATCGGAAACATGTGCATACTTCTGCTGAGCCGAGTTCTGTTCCTGTGGTTTTAAAACTGATCTGGATAATAACGACGTCTCGTCATCTTTCGTGGATAAACGCCGTGTAATCCTTTGATGGGACTCGTGTGAAATTAAATAGGCACCAAACCAACCACCCACACGATCCATATATTTATAATCTTTGCATAAATATATACATAATAAGCACCGACGGATAGTTAATATTCAAAATATTATTTGTGCCATGCATTTTGTCCAGAGTGCAAATTAGTCGACAATTGATCTTATATGAATTGAATCGTCTCTTTAAGTCGAGTACAACAACAACTACGAACAGGCACCATTTTGGGGAAGTGAATGATTACACGAAAAGGTAAAAAAAGTGTGGAGCTCAGGACGGCGTTAATTCCACCTCGCAATTCGCTTTCTCCAGACAAGAAACTGTAGAAGAAATCGAAAAAGCTTTCTCTTTGACTTTGAGTTTTAGCTGCCATTCGATATTTATTTCATCCTTTCCAAATTCAGCCAGCCGTTCTTTTATCTCTCCCATTCACGTCACATTTCGTTTTCCACCTCTCCAACATTTCTGCTCACACTTTGCAGGGAAAAAGTGTGTGCGGAGAAAGTGGAGAAAGATTTTCATGCATTTTTATGTCGTGATTTATCATTTCTAGAACAAATGTCCAGTAGAAAGTAGTACATTTACGTGGACAGAAGTGGGTGTTGGAACTAATCGTGAGGTTTCTATACTGCATTATTGCTCAGAATTTGGTGGTGCTGCTGCAAACTGACGTTCCTCCTCACTCACTGAATAATTTATTTTATTCCTACTTAAATCCAATCCTTTGGCTGTGCTCCTTCTTCACTTTATATTTTACAAATATGTTCTCATCTCGTGTGTCATAAGATGAAAGCCGGGAGATATTTGAGCCGGGCAAACAATTTGTGCAGCCTCTTCTGCTGGCCGTCCCTCCTCCTCCCTCTCGTTGGATGAATGGATGGATGGATGTGCTTTATTACCTTTCACCTCTCTAAATTCATTTGATGTCAAATTCGATTAATTTCTGCTCTGAATAGTTCTGGCAGTGTCTTTTCTGCTGCTTCACTCACCCTGTTAAATTAAATTCAGTCGACATTTTAATTTATGTGATAGACACCACACCAATGTCGCCCTGGTCGTGGTGGTGGCGACGGTGGTGGCGCGTAGGTAACGAGGAAAACCTTGATTCCTCTGTTTATACGACGACTCGGCCATAAAGTAAGTAGCACGAAGGTCGACACTGTATGTGGTCTGCCAATAATACTGGAAACCGCTCATTGCATTGCCCCCACCCGGCAGTGGGAGCCATATGGGAGCCCCTCCCATGTGTCTCATCTCTTCCTCTGATGTGGCAATGATCAAAGGAAATGTTATTGAAAGAGACAACGCAGAACAAAGTTTTTTGAGCTCTCTTCTGGTCTCTCTCTCTCTCGCCGAGTGCGGACTTGCCGATGGTATTTCACATCTTGGGCATCCACCATACAAATCATATCGATATCTCCGCAGGATATCTCTCTATCAGCCAAATAGAGTCAAGGGCTGGACCGTACTTTCACTGGTTACATATAATTTCATCGCAAATGGAATGATGTGGTAGGAAAGTGATTTTATCTGGACTCTCCAGCCAATTTTTTTGCAGAGAATTGGATAGGAATTGAACATATGTAGTTATATAGCGTCCATTCATCTTGGATCATGTGTTCTCTGCCCCAAAATTTTAGAATTTGATGAGAAATTCTGAGGAAACTCTTCAAGTACAGAGACACATACAAGTACATAGGAGAGAAAGAAGACTATACAGCATAGGGTTGAATCTATATATAGCCAAAAATACTTGCCGTTGAACACAAGTAGCATTCATGCGTTAAATAATCGTTCAGCGGAGCAGCACAAATCCAGGGACTCACGAAACGAGGCGATTGGAACTCTCTCCGTGAAGCCCGTGAATGTGGAAATCATCATCATGTGGAAAATTAACGAAAATGAATTTACTTTGGGCTGGAACCGGAGCGATACTGAAATACATCACAGACTTGGCATTTTAAGTACGTACGTACTAAACTCCGCGAGAACAATACAGCTTTAAAAGCTATTTGTTCCTTGTATTTAGTTTCATAATTATTTATTGCGTATAATCGGGAGAAATGAAATGGCAAGTTGAAATGGTAAGTTGCTGGCTGACTGCACTGCTAAATTTGGAACGACTAAACTTGTGTCGACATATGACACATGGGTCACTCTGATTAAAATTGAATCGAGGGCAGACCAACTTGGCTGAGTGAATTCGCGATAAGTTGACTTTTGACTTCTTTCTTTCCTACTGAATTTATTTCCTCACAACTCCATCCGTCACTGCTTCGAGATGCTGCTGGCTTTCACTTTCAGCCACTTTTATTTCCACTCTCTCTCTCTTTTTCTCTCTCTCTCTGCCTGTCATGCGAATAGCAGTTTCTCCGAATTATTAATCTCTTCACCCTTTGCAAAGATAAATGGCTTTTATTTTATGGAAAATATGTGCTGCTATTTAATTTAACTGCTTCCTGTGCATCCACACTGCGTGTACGCAGTAGTTTATCTATTTAGCGCAAGTGTGACTATGAGTGAATGACCTCGTGACCTGCCCGTTTATTTAGTAAATCAAGGATAAAAAACCACCTTGGACGATGATGTCAATCGGAACGAATTGAATGCGGTGGTAACGTTCCAGTTGACCGTCATGTGTTGGCGAATGCTGAGACCCACCAATTTAATGTTTTCTCAGAAAAGAGGTCTGGGAATTGAGGTAATGTGCTGGCTCTTATTCTTGACGTGCTTATATAAATGTAGTGCTTTTGATGTGGGACTAAACACTTGACGGTGGATGTGGATATGTCTCCGAAAATGGTCACTGCTTGCTACCAATATTGCCTCCTGCTCAAAACTTGCTCCAGTCATCACATATTTTTCTCCCCGAAGAGAGAAAGTGCTACTCAAGTCGTCGAGACTGATGTTGTGGTTACACCAACACTTTGATGTTACGAGAGCTCGACAATACTCAACTTTCGACAACTTTCGCCAAATACACACGTAAGGCTCAGAACGGAACGTTGCAAAATATGTAGCTGCGTGCAAAGGAGACCGTGTTTGTTTCTGGTGGAAAATTGAAGGAGCACTTATTTCAAACAACCCCAGCAGCAGCTAGTTTGCATAAATAAATTAACTTTATGGAGAAACGGTTCACAATTTGAAGGCATTTAATAAATTTTACTGACGGGAAAATAATTAAGTTAAATGTTAAAAACAACCTTCGAGACGGAGTTATTTAGTCGTTAAAATGCAAATATTGAATACGTCTTGGGTTTGGAAATGCTATAAATTAGTAATTTATGTAAATTAGTAGTCTTAGTTAATTTAATTAGCACGTGAGTGGGCAGTGTATCTTGAAAATGGGCAGGACTCAATGTCACTCAGTCGTAAAATATGGACAGAAAATTGAGAAACTCGTCCCACAGTCATCATCGTCACTTGTGTCCAACTTTTCCAAACACACATTTTTTACTTACTGTCATCAAAGTAAACGACCATTTCCTTCCAGAACAAGACATGTGCCCTCGTTTTTTCTCTCTTCCTTAACCATGACAGACATACGTGTATAACGCTGTATAGACAAACTTTATAGGTTTTAGGAGGAAAATTGTTTCGTAACCGTAACCCTTTACTTGGCAATAAAGGTTAGACAGCAAAAGGAAATAGGTACGCAGGTAGTCAGCCATCATAATATAATACTGCTTCTCCATGAAAGAAACCAAAAAATCAGGCTGGTTTCCTGAAAAACTATACATCTCGAAATGATGATGCAACCACGTATGTACATAGCGTGAGTGGAGCTGGGTCAGTAATGATTCTCCCATATTTCGAGAGCAGCCGAAACTATGGTTTACAGTTGATGGTCTTTTAATGGAGGAAATTTTGGACGCGGATAACCCAACTTTTTGTTGCTTTCCTCTTCCGGAGTCCCAATTTTGCTCGCTTTCTCTTGGTTGGCCAACTCACATTTCATCCAAACAAAGGAAACATACATAGTTCGCCACCAGCAGCTCTGCACAAACCAAGCCACACACACACAACTACAAACAACTCCTTCCACCACATTATATAATGGAATGATGGAATTCTTGGCAAAATTGAAATGGGCGAACGAAATGGATACGGCTGCAATTTCACCAAAGGATCTCTCTCTCTCTCTCGCGTTGTAGGGGGTAAGTTGGCCAATCTGACGACGAGGATTGCCAGGGGAAAGCGCAACTTAAAATCATCGTATAGAAATATTATATCGGTTGTCAGTCAAACCAAGCGAGGAGAAAGCACAGATTTTTAATCAACGCATTCTGCACATTTGCCTCCTTGAATACTGGTCATTTCTCATTCTCAATCCAATTAAAAGTCAACCTTAATGCAACGTCCAACTCGCTCATTAGCCAACCTGCATGTCAGACAGCCGTCTACTTATCCCTTGATGGCACATTAGCACATTGTAGAAATAATTAGTTCACGTGGATGCAGGTGAGCTAATTTCGTTCGGAAAAAGAGAGAGGAAGAGTTTGTCCTTTCAATTATTCAGTGAAATTACAGGATTTGTGCATTAGCCCTTCGGCTCCTCTGCTGCTGCTGCGAAGGGTTAATCGACCGATGAGGTTTGATCACACACGTAATATCGCAGGGGATCGACCCACCGCGCTTTCACCCTCGCTTCCCTCTCACTCGCTCACTTTCCTCATTTCCAAAAATCGGGAGGAAGAAAAACAAGAAAGAATCCATCGTGCCTTCAATTTCCTCGCGTCTCTGACTCCCTCAGTCGTCGTCGTCGTCATGTTGTTTACCTTTTGTTCGCCCCTTTTTTCACAAAAATGGTGAGTGCGACTTTCTCTCCTTATTTGCAACAACAATGTTTGTTTATATGTTTGATTGTGTTGCATGTAAGGATTTGGCCATTGAGCTGAGGAGTCGTTGATGTTGACGTAGGCAATCATTTAGTACAATTTCCTGTTCGTCTGACATCAACGATTTCCTTTTTATCATACCAATTAACCAATTCCACTCTGTTCAAAAGAGATTGCTTTTAAGATTAACTTTTCATTATGCACGGTTAAGTGAGAGAGTCTTATCATACTCTGTTCACTTATTGATCGCCAAGACCAAGAACAGTCAGCTATTTGGGTCTATATATGACTTGCTCGATACGCGGTATTTGCTCCTCGCGTCGGAGGATATAGCACCTCACTTTCCCTGAACAAGTTGAGCCAATTTCCCCGAATGTATTTCCACTGGTATCAAAAATTAACGCCTTTCTTCTTCCACGAACTGCCGCCCTGCTCCCATGGGTGTTTACTCACAGAGAGAGAAAGCGACATGGTGGATGGCCAGCGAGTTTTATTGATGTCTCGCAGGATTGATTGTTCTAACCCACACATTGTCCATTTAATTGGAATTTGGACGGGGAACTCGGGGCCTTTGTGCAGACACCACGGCGTCTCCAAGAACTGGTCATCCGAATTATGACACGACCAAGTGCACAAGTTCACTCCATACAAACTGTACTGCACTCGTACTCGGCCAGTCATCAATCCCAGTGCAAATATTGTGTGAGTTCTATCCTACTTTATGTGTGTACTACATGGCACAAGCTCGCAAGGTTAGGAGTTCAATATTTTCATGTGAGCATAACAAATAACAGAATAATTGCTCCTGTCTTGACTATCCTGCATTCGTATTATTCTGTTGTCTCAGCATTCAGCACTTTTGATGACGCGGTGAGAAAGCGCCGCCGCAACTGTGTGTTAACTATTCAAAGGAAAATGATACTAGAGCGATAAGAATAATGCTGACAACGATAATGAATGATGAATGATGTAACTGGCATTGTCGCTGCCTCTCCATTGTCGCCCCTGCTTCAGACCATCTCCGTATATTTCTTGTGACGCAGACCGCATGGGAACGACGCCACATGTTCCCGTGCAAAGGAATGCACCGACCAGAAAGAGATGGTCGCTAACTGTGCACTCAATTATTACTGCTCTAACCTACCTCTCATTTATTGGATGTTTTTACTTTGCTCGCTCATTACGGTTGGAAGGATTAGACTCGCTGGCTGGCTGGCTGGTCTCGCTTGCATCGCATCTGATAGCAAAGTTAAGCGGATGATGCATTCAAGTATGAAGCCAAATTAAACTAGATTAGAGGAGAAGTTGAGTTGTTTGTGTGCGTGTTTTTTGGAGAAGGTGGAAAGTTTGTGAAGTCTCGTTTTGTCTTCTTCCTCCTCGCTTAGGTATGTACGTTGATCTGTCAGAGTCACTTGGGTGGGTTCGTTGCTTGGTTAGCTATTAATAATGGAGCGCGGATGAGTCTCCTGATGGGAAAGGATAATGAGGGCAATGCCGCTCGTGGTTAGTTCGTGCTTCCTTCTCCCTTCTTCCTAATGGTGGAGAGACTCATATTTGCATAGTTTAGAGTTCTGCATACTTTCACTTTCCTCCACTCTCGCAACCACAAAGAGTTGGAAAACTAAACCATGATGGCCAAGAAGAGTTTGACTACCGCACGATTTAAGGAAACATTCACCACGTCTAATCCACCACTAAATCAGTATGAAACATATGCCATATGCATTTTTGAACGGGGTAAGAACGTACTCACCAACTCTTTTTCCGTCTCCTTGAATCTCTATCTTTTTGACGTCCTGCGAGGAGGAAGAACTTTGTCGTGGCTCAACTTTTCTAAGTGAATGTGGGTGGTGTCAGCAAGAACAAGAAGTGTGCGCATTTACCAGAGACAACTGATACAACCACCACCACAAAACTTTCCTGTGAAATTCGAGACTTTCACCCGATCTAGACTCACTAAATGATCCACTTAATATCCGTGAAGAGAAAGTATTTATATTTCTAGACTAGTGGTCGTGATGATGGAATGTGTATATTTTGCTATCAAGAATCCACTCGCTACGACGACGACGCGACCCAAACCACAACAACAGTTTGTTGAGCAAGGAATGGACACACACTTTTTTCTTCCTGGTAAAACAAAGTGTCGACAGAGTAACTACTTATTTACGCCCTGGAATGAAGTATGCCACGCGTCCTCACAATCCAACATTCACTCTGGTGCTCTGAATCAATCAATTTCCCAAGAGCAACATATGTCACCACAGCACACTTGTTCCGCTCCAAGAACTTTGTCACTTTTATGCAACCCTGTGTCCCGATACAGATTTCTTTTGAAACGGGTGGTAAATTCTGACGATAAAAGTTGCGTCGGTGAAGCTCAGGCTGCGGAGTGAGTGAGCCTGGTGGAGAGACTGAAGATTTGATCAGGAGAAGGAGAATATATTTAATAATGTGGAGGAGGGAGACGTAGAAGGTGAGATTGTCGTCGCTATGTGTTCCCTGAAAAAGGAGAGGAGGCGAGAGAGTCGTGGCGGAGGTGGTTGGTATTTGGGTGGTCTCGTGAGATAAGAAGAGACGTCGTGGATTTTGGTGAAAGTGGGAGCGCGGGCAGGAGTCTTGGTCGGTCGGATGGGATCTGGCAGCAGCAGAAGCTGTGTCGGTGAGGTCCTCGATTCTCCTGCTGCTCCTGCTGCTTCTGTGATGAGAAAGTGGGAGAGAAAGCGAGAGGGAAAGTCTCCCACCACCGATGCGATGCCCTCCACCACCACCGGATGGGAAATGAGTACGCTGAGGGAGCTCAGACTGCTTTCACTCTTCACTGCTTCCCTGGCCGAGGCCTGGACGGGGAGGCATGAGGCAGGGTGCTTCACACACGGTGTCACCCATCCCTCTTCTCCACAGGAATTTATCACGCCATTCCATATTTCTTCCGCCACCTCGCAAGGTGAACAATGTGAGGAACGTGCTACGTAATGTGATCACTCAATCGCTGTAATTGGGTTTCATGCGACTTCACCCTTCTGGGTTAAGCAGTTCAGTAATGGCTCGAGAAGGTGACTCTCAAACGTGAATGCCCGTCACCTTACTCCGTTTCCGGGACAGCATCGTCGTCGTACTCGACCCTGCGATAATGCCACTTGAAATTCCAAGAGGAGCGACTTTTTCTCGTGATGGGATCTCGGGCTGAACTTTTTCCTCTTTGTTCATAATGTTATTTGTCGTCCTTGTTCCATCCATCCCAAATTTCGTTATGGTTCCGAGAGAAAATTAAGTTATGCGTGAATGTGAAAGGTGTTTTCTCAGAGTCGTGTCATGTGGTTCTTACCCACGGCCTACGAATGGGACGTTTTTCCTCTCCTCTCACATATTTATAGAGGGTTCATAGATACGTTCTTGGATAGAATACGTTATTATGATTACTTACAGGTACATACACTTTAACCTAACGTGGCGTCGTCCTTGCATGTGTACCCTCATTGATATGTAAGTGTATTTACTTACACTGTGCCTCACAGTTGACAGTCCTATGCAATGGGCAGGTACGTGGATAGATTATACATCGCCGCGCTTCTCTAGAGATTCGGGGATTTCGTGGAGCAGCAGCGTTATTTGGTGGTTCAGATGAATGGGGATTAGCCCTTCTTCCTCCAGCTTTGAACTCCTCGCATGTGGATTTATGCATGTGTATGGCTTAACCCTTCTTCACATCTCATCCTGTAACAAAAGTCTCCAAGAATTGCCTTCCGTCGTGTTTTCCACTTTCCATAATTTCATTCCCAAGCAAAGTACGTAACAGTTTTTCGTGCGTTGGAGACGACACGAAATATAAAACATTAAGAGCGGCACAATTACCAGTGACGAAGAAGTTTTGCCAACAAGACTTTTCTCTCGTGGTCTTCGTGGCGTGCTCCACCGTCTTGGTCAAGAGTTCGAGTGGTGTGTGGGCAAAAAATGAAGAAGGAGGTGTTCCATATCCAGCCTCTCACTTTCCCAACAGTCGTCGTATATTGGATACTTTTTTCCTCCGTCTACAGCAGCAGGGCTTCACCGATGCTCGGGAGTGATGATTAGATGAGCAAAATGTATGTTTTTGTGCAGCTCTCTACCTCATTATTCATCTTTTTGCCTGGTGTACAAAAAACGTCGGAAGAAAGCACATCGAGGAGGGTGCAGCACTGACGAATGTGAAGTGGTTGAATGAATGAGGGCATTTCTGCCAGCCTCCAAATTTCCACTCTGATTCATTTCTTTTAATAAAACCGAATTGAACTTGAAGTACAAGTTTTCTCCTTGCTTCAAGAAAATCGAAATATGCGATGTCTGAGTCACACTTGCTAGTTTGTGGATCGGCGCACCACTGGTTCGCAAAATATGCGCACCGAACCACACCGCGAACCACACCCGGTGTGGATCGCGGTGTGGTGCGCTGGGTTTTCGACTTTGGCTGGTGTGGTTCGCGGTGTGGTGCACTGGGTTTTAGGCTTTTGCTGGTGTGGTTCGCGGTGTGGTGCGCTGGTTCGTAGCTGAGGTTCGCGGTGTGGTGCGCTGGCTCGGAGGTGCGATTCGTTATTGTTAATCGCAAATGAACCTTTAAACCTTTGGCACCATTTTAAGCTCTGGTAAAAACTTGGCTCAAGAATGATTCAGTGTTTCGTTTTGGACGTTTTTTTTACTTGCAGTGTCCAAAATTGTCCAATAATAAGACAATTTGCCTATTTGCTACAGCTTCTGTATTCATGCCGTTTTGGTAAATGCATTTTCAGATATAATGTCCTTTCAATTTTGGGAAATGTAATTCCCAATACCACGAAATTTGAGGATAGCCTTTTACTAAATATGTGGTATTATATACGAACACATGCAAACAAATATATCTTACGCATATATCTTGAGAAGTCAATCATAAATTCTCTAAATCGTGCCGTGTCATACTGTGTATACATAATATGCTCAAACTGAACAGGAATAGCATCTTCCAATAAATAATCCAGCAATACATTTTGGAGCTCCGAACTCTGAGGTCCAAAAGTGGTTAAAACCATGTTTGGACTGCTATTTTGGCCGGTAGTTACAACCACCACGAAACACTGGAATAATTATAAAAATATATTTACTATACAAAATAATAAAATGTTCCATTCTGAATTGATAAAACTGGTGAAAATGTGAAAATGTAGAATTTTAATAATTATGTATGGGGAAAGTTTTTTACAAGTCACAGTATTGTTTAAACATAACATGTGTGTTTGTCGTATCTGTCGTATCACCATTGGTTCGCAAAAAATGCGCACCGAACCACACCGCGAGCCACACCCGTGTGGATCGCGGTGTGGTGCGCTGGGTTTTAGGCTTTTGCTGGTGTGGTTCGCGGTGTGGTGCGCTAAGTTTAAGACTTGGCTGGTGTGGTTCGCGGTGTGGTGCGCTAAGTTTCCGACTTGGCCGGTGTGGTTCGCGGTGTGGTGCGCTGACCCAAACTAGCAAGTCTGTCTGAGTTGGAGGGTTTTGGGAGGTGGAGTGTGATGGTGGTAAAGAGATCGAATGATGCAAAAGCTGCCAATTTCACCTCCTCCAGTCATTCGATAGCTGGATCAATGATCATTAAGCAAACCGCGTATAAATGCCGCGATCGTGTGATCGAATCCGCATGCACATCTTTCCATACGGCATGTACCGCTCTTTACCGCAAAACCGCGTCGTTCTCACTCCTTGAATCGGCTGTGTGTGATCTCTCTCTGGCCAACTTGGAGATGACGGCCCCACGAGAGTGTTACTGTTATTGCTGTTCAGGTTCAGTGCAGCAGGACAAAAATCAGCTCCCGTTCCGCCCGGTTTTAGGAGTGGAAGACAGGTGTGTTTATTTTATGGAGCTCACACACAACCCACGCTGCTGGTCTGCCTGATGGGATGTGAACCCATCACATTGCATTAGAGTGGTCCGGACAGACGAGGCGTGTCGTGGATAGAAAAGCTTTTACTCTTCCATCAACCAGTACGTAGTCTCACTCCTCGTTTACCATAGTAGTCAACGGCCTTTTGCTGGGATTTAAATCCACATCCTCCTCGCTTTCTCTCGCTCCGAGGTAGTTCTAGTCCTAGGTGATTTTCACAAGTTGGACAACTACTTACTTTTGCGTGAGGAAAGTGGAGTGGAGTGAGTTTCACTCATTAATGGAGCTCTTGGGCGAAATTCAATTTCATTTTGCGACCTTGGGATTTATTGAGTAGGATTTATTCAAGGGGTGAGGATGACACCATTTGTCGGATTTTAGATATTGTGAAACCCTTCGCCTCCGACGTACATCGTATGCACGCCGTTAAAGAATAATATTCCAGAGTAAATATTGACAGTTGTTCATTCAATGGAGAGAATAGTAAATGAGATTGAAAAAAAATGCTGTAGGCTTGGATTGCGCAATATGTTAGTTGTGTGTACACATTTCCGTATGCGAACTGCTGAAGTACAATATACTTTGCAAGGAAACGCAAAATTAGGATTATCTCTGGATTTTCACCAAGTTTGAATGTACATGCGCTTGTGTTGGTAAAACTTGAGATTAGAGACTTATTTCTTTTTACTATCTGTCTGACGTCGAAGTGATCATATAATTTGAGAGAAATTTTATTGTCTGGTACGACCATTCCTTCCGACGGATTGAATCTTGCACGACTACATATTGTTGCACAAAGTCATCTTTTGAATAATAATAATAATGTAGCTTTGCGAAACGAAAGTTTTAATGCGTAGCCATCCATTACAGAAGAGTTTAATTAGTTTCTCTTCTATGGCAAACTTATTGTTCGTTCGTGGTGGTACATTTTGGGAGAAAGTTGTGGGTTGTGGAGCAGAAGTACGTTCGTACGTATCGTGGCAGAGATTGCATGAGTGCCGTAGGTGGTAGTAGTCAACTATCAAACTGCGACATGGTTCACCTGCAAATGTGGAGGGGGACAGGAGAAGGAGGAAGCAAAAGCCATTTCGAATCCATCCTCGAGTAATGTCTTCTCGTTGTGTGTGTTAGGCAGTCGTTTTGTACGTAATATTTGCTTTTGTTACTCCTCATTTTATGTCTCTTAACCTCCAACTAAATCAAATCGAATGCTCCGAAACACAACAAAGATACAGAAAACGATGGACATAAAAGCTTATCAGTTTTATTAAGTTGTACCAAACTTTACAGCTTCTCTCTTATTTATGTATGCGCTTAAAACCCCAATATTTTACTTTTCTACTTTACTGCTCCCTGTTAGGAATGTCTTATCGTGGTTTGATTTTTTACCAGCTCACTCTTTCCACCAGCAAATGATGATGATTTAGATTAATGTCCTTATATTTAAATAATGACGACAAGAATTCATCACAAGGACAAATATATTATTCAAATTTATGTAATGCAGAACTTCTGCGCATCACATAATTTGTTCATCGACAGAATGGGAACGGTTTGATTAAGACGACGCACAAGAATAATAAAACATCCACCTGAACAAATTCGACAGACTTAAATTCCATTGGGCATTGTTTATACTTTCTCCTCTAATAAGAAATCAAATTTCACTCCACTTTCCCCGTTCGTCTGCTGCTGCTGCTGCTCCCAGTGTTTCTGCTGTTTAAAAACACCTGCACAAAATTAGTGCATAAAAATGTTTTTATGCGTTTAATAA